TGGAAGGACTGATGCTGAAGCTGAAACTCCAATACTTTGGCCACCTGATGCGAAGAGCTGACTCATTGGAAAAGACCCTGATGCTGGGAGGGATTGGGGGCAGGAGGAGAAGGGGACGACAGAGGATGAGATGGCTGGATGGCATCACCGACTCGATGGACATGAGTTTGAATAAACTCCGGGAGTTGGTGATGGACAGGGAGGCCTGGAGGGCTGTGATTCATGGGGTCGCAAAGAATCGGACACAACTGAGCGACTGAACTGAACTGAACTTAATTTTTCTCCTTCTACTCTGTTCACTCACCCTGGGAATCTTATCTGCTCCTTTTGTTTCAATTAATAATTACGTGCAGAGGAGTTCCACCTACATTTTCCTAGTCCAAATTTATCCTGAGGGATATGTAATCTAGAGGGCATTTCTATTTAAATGCCTCTCAGGTAACCTCATAATGTATATGTTCAAAATTAACTTTCTAATCTCTGCTCAATCTCCTTCCAAAAGTCATTCTCTGCAAGTGGCCCAACCCAGGAACTAAGAAGTCATCCTTAACTCCTTCCTCCCTCTCACACTTCGTTGTTAACTCTCTGTCTTAAAGATTTCACACCTGGAGGCCTGCAACACCCTCACTGACCTTTCTCCAGTTTTGCCCCCTTATAATCCAAAGAAAGCTGAGCACTGAAAAATTTATGCTTTTGAACTGTGGTGTTGGAGAAGACTCTTGAGAGTCCCTTGGACTGCAAGGAGATTCAACCAGTCTATCCTAAAGGAAAGCAGTCCTGAATATTCACTGGAAGAACTGATGCTGAAGCTGAAACTCCAATACTTTAGCCACCTGATGCAAAGAATTGACTCACTAGAAAAGACTCTGATGTTGGGAAGAATTGAAGGTGGAAGGAGAAGGGGCCGACAGAGGATGAGATGGTTGGATGGCATCACTGACTCGATGGACATGAGTTTGAATAAGCTCCGGGAGTTGGTGATGGACAGGGAAGTCTGGCGTGCTGCAGTCCATGGGGTCACAAAGAGTCAGACCTGACTGAGCTACTGAACTGAACCAATCCGGGGTGATTTTCCTGGAGGAAAAGATCACAGTTATACTAGCTATTAGATTCTAAATATTTGCTGTGGTCAAATTTAAAATTAAACTCCAAGCTTCCTGTCAGTCAAGGCAAAAACAAAGGAAAAGTAATCTTCGTATGTTTTGCTGTTTGTTCTAACGCTAACACTAAAACAAGGTTCTCAAGAGGAGATTGATATAGGGAGTAATAAGTGATGTAATGAACAATGTCCTCAACACCATTCCTATGATATAACCTATAATTCCATCCCACAAGTATTTGTGGGGTACTTATGAGTCAGGCACTATGCTCACTATTGGAGATAAAACAGTGAATGTGGTTGTTTCTTATCTAATCTCATAATTCAACCTGAGTTTGGGCATAATATTAAAGCCAACCCTCTGGGGACAATTTGGGGGGAGAAGGGCTTATTTCCCAAGCCAAACTTGTATGATGGTAAAGCCAAGGTCACAATATCAGTTGTTCAGGGCCCCCACCACCTACTACCCCCAATCCTTGCTGCTCTGCAGTCCCAGAGCATGATTTCAGGATTTCTAGCCTTTCTTTTATCTTTTTAAAAAAACTTTTAATTTTGTATTGGGGTATAGCCAATTAACAATGTTATGATAGTTTCAGGTGGATCGAAAAGGGACTCGGCCATACATATACATATATCCATTCTCTCCCAAACTCCTCTCCTATCCAGTCTAGCCTTTCTTTTAAAATGCAATTTATTAACATGACCAGGACTGCTGTACACAACACATCAAATATTTATAGGATTCCCCAAGTGTTGTCTCACATGTGCTGACAAACAGGGCTTTTATTAATAAATGATCTCAAGGAATCTATCATTTCTCCCTTACTCTCTCTGGCTTTTGGCAAAGATCTGCTGCTAAGACTGCTCCCCACCTCAACCACATACGTGTGTCCTGACAGCATGAGCTTAACAAGGTCAAAGGTGCTGCTCACGATGCCTCACAAGACTGTGCTGAGGCTGCCAGGGAACAGCACGTGGACTAGGCTGACCTGTCCATTATGCAGAAAGGAATGGAACCCAGATGCCAACATTACATTGCCCTGGAGCTGCTCTGACACCCTAGAACTACCAGGGCTCCTGTAGCTGCTCAAATGCCAGGGCCCTTCTGTACTCAAGTCATACCACATTTTCACTCAACCTCTGAGAACATTTTTCCCCACTAAGGTTATATTTCATCACTCAGGTTCCGAAGCAGTGTTGTCTAGTGCTCCTGATATCTTACTTAGGCTACAAAAACAGCTTTCAGTTTTTAATAATATCGGAACACACAATAAGACTCTGAGAAATGAGTCCATGGGCTAGGCCAGGGAGAAAACTGTGACAATGTGCAGTGTTTCAAAATGACCCCTCCCAATGGTAGGACATTCAGAATTTTCTAGCCTGATGAAGAAGTTTAGATTCAAATCAGGAGCCATACTCCATAAGTATGTTGCCTTTACATCTGACCCAGTTTGACACAATAATAGAATTCAGAATGATAAAAGAACTGGTTGGATGTTGTTAAAAAGAAAACCACAAGCCCCAAATGGCGTCGTTTGTGTTGCCAAAATCTTGGCTCTCTGTGCACCAATACCAGACAAATATAGAGACAGTTATGGAGGAGAAGGAAAGTGTGGCTTTATTATTTTGCCAGGCAAAGGGGGAACACAATAGGCTAGTACCTCAAGAACTGTGCCCCCCTCCCTGGTGAGTAGGGAGAGATTCTGTAGTCAGGCAGGATATGTGATAAGGGGTAACAGTCTTCATTCTTTCTTCTTTAGAGTTTCAAAAGGGTGGGGTTGCTGACAAGATTAGAGTGTGTGCTGGGTCTCAAGTGGCTCATCTCCTAATCCTGTCCCTAGGACAGCAAGGAGATCAAACCAGCCAATCCTAAAGGAAATGCACCCTGAGTATTCATTGGAAGGACTGATGCTGAAATTCCTATACTTTGGCCACCTGATGCGAAGACTCATTAGAAAAGACTGTGATGCTGGGAAAAATTGAAGGCAGGAGGAAAAGGGGGCGACATTGGGTGAGATGATTGGATGGCATCATTGATTCAACAGACACGAGTTTGAGGAAACTCTGGAAGATGGTGAGGGACAGGGAAGCCTGGCAGTGCTGCAGTTCACAAGGTTGCAAAGAGTCAGACTTGATTTAGCAACTGGACAACAACAACTGGTCCCTTTAATCTTGCCTCAGGTGGTTTCATTACTCTTTCTCCTTTGATTAGTAACTGTTCTGCCCTTTGGAACTCAGAGAGTTCCTCATGGAGGCTGGAGTCTTGCCTTCAAGGAATGGGTGACAACAAGCCCACCAAGCCCAGGATCCCACAAGGCCCTGCTCAGCATCACTTGTACTAAAGTCCATGGTACCAAACAGAGATTTAGTATCTCTGTCAAATTGCAGTTTTAACCTTCCCTAGAAATGTAATGTTAATGGACCAGTCTGGAATTTTCTGGTTAAGCACCAGTAAGTTAAGCTATCAGACAGTCCCTCTCCATCAACTCCCCCATCCCCAGCTGCAGAAGAGGCAATCAGCATGATAAAACCCTTTCCAGTTCCTTTCTCCTCCCTCTTCCCAGTAGGGGAATCCTGCTTTTCTTTTATTATTATCATCTTTTCTTTTGTTAATACTTTCTTGCTCCACCCTCTGAAAAACCTTCCACTTTGTACAACCCATCCCAGCACCCTTCTAGTTGCTAGATGGGGGTGCTGCCCAATTCATGCATAGCTGAATAAAGACAATTAAATCTTCAGATTTACTCAGTTGAATTTGTTGTTGGGTTTTTTTTTTTTTATGTCAATATACCCAGATACTCCTCACAACTTGCCTTTGCCTTGAGGACACAGATGTGCCCTGTTGCAAAGACCTGGAACAGAAGTTTGGAGCCGCAGTATATTCATGAGAAACAAGATCAGCAGGTGGTTTAGGCTAGCTAAGAAGCTTACTCACTGGGACATCTATAGACAAGGCCTGGATTTTTCCACAAGAAATATTCTGGATACAAGTAACGCATCAATGGGCTTGAACTTCTATATGTTTGCAACGATCTAAACCTCTTTAAACATAGAAGTGGGATATCAAATGATTAAATATAAAGCCTCCACCCCCCGCGCAGCCAAGAGTAATCATTTAGTAAGTGGTGCCTTGGTTCTTAACTCAGTAACTTCAAGGAAGTCTTCTATGCTCCCTAGACTCCAAATAGATGATCTACATTACCCATTTCTATCTATCCCTTTCTTCATGTCTCCTACCCAATCAGCCTGGCAAACTCGCCAATTCATTCCCCCACACAGGCCGCCCTGCCGCGGAGACTTGCAGCCTGCTAGCCCACTGCGGAGGGCGGGGTAATACCTCCAGCTGGGGCCCGCGGCACGCAGCCTTGTGGGAGTTGTAGTTCTCGCAACTCAGAGTCCTCGGACAGGCGTCACCACGGGACTCGTTTTCCCGTGCTCCTTTGCGCGGGTCCACTTGGGGTAAGTCCCTGGGTAGGTGAGAAAGTGGCTGGCTGCTTGCTTATTGAAAAGTGGAGTTCAGCGGTCTTTGTTAATGGAGCCACTGCCACGGAAGAACTCAGGGTGTATTTCTGTCCCGTCAAGAGTGCTGGAGGCCGAACTTGAAATACAAGTTTAAGGTTCCCTAGAGGACGAAAGATCAGGAGCCGAGCTCCCGGCTCCCGGTATCCCCGCCCAGTCTGCTGCAGGAGCGGCCAACCCCGACCCGGGTTAAAACTCCCGGGAAGTCTTCGCTGCTCCCACTCTGGGTCCCCTTCAAAGCTGGGAGTCGTCGTGGGCGGCTGGATGTGTGCGCCCTCCGGTTCCCGGGAACTTAGGGGACGCTGCTGAGCCCCGTCGCCCGCAGGGGACTTGTATTCGCTTTCTGCACTCTCACCCCGAAGGGTTGAAAAGGGTTTCCACCATGATCTCCCGGGTCTTCAAGCTGCGCATGTGGGCCCCCGTGGGTGTCCTGACCTCGCTAACCTACTGCCTCCACCAGCGGCGGGTGGCCCTGGCCGAGCCTGGGGGCGCGGACGACCAGAATCCTGTGGACCGAAGCCTGTTGGAGTTGAAAATGGTGCAAGTCGTGTTTCGACACGGGGCACGGAGCCCTCTCAAGCCGCTCCCTCAGGAGGACCAGGTGAGAGAGACCGGCACGGTTGGGGAGCGAGAACTGTGTGGCCAGCTAGTGGCGGGCCAGGGTCTTTGCCCCAACGCACACCATCTTTGGAATTTTACTCTTACGGAGCGGGAATTCGGACTTGGTCCTGACGAAGGGAAAACAGTGTGAACAAATGTGCTGACCATGTACCCCCAACCTCTCCCAGCCCCCTCGGACACCCGGATTGGGGGGCAGCCCGGAAACTTCCCATGGCTGCGATGTAGCCCAGCTAGTAGTATGCTTCCTTAGGTGCGTATAAATCGCGTAGGGATCTTGCTAAAAATGCGGATTCAGTAGACGAGGGAGCGGAAACTCTGTATTTCTAGTGAATATTTGTGGGAACTTGAGTACAAGGGTGTAATGCAGTTCTGTGTGACCATTTTAATGGTTGTCAAAGAGTTACAGGGACCTTTGTGACAGGAACCAACCTGATTGGGATCACAGTGGATAAGAGAGGTTAATAATGCCTTTGGGAAGGGACCTCCCTTGTGGCTCAGTGGTGGTTCCTGCCAATGCAGGAGACAGGGATTCGATTTCCTGGGTGGGGAAGATCGGGGCAGAAGGAAATGGCAACCCACTCCAGTATTCTTGCCTGGAAAATCCCATGGACAGAGGAGCCTGGCGAGCTATAGTCCACGGGATTGCAAAAGAGTTGGAGTGACTTAGCGACTAAACAAAACCAACACCACTTTTGGGAACAGATTTTACCTCAACTTTCTCTCTGGGTTTGCTGGAGACTGTTTGAGATCCTGAAGATTTTTTTGGCAACAAGTGCTGTATCTTGGGGCTCTCTTTCATTCTGGGTTCCTAAACTTATTGTAGAAGGGATCTGAGGTACAAAAAAACAAAATTAATTGATCAGTCTTAAAATCCACCTGGTTTTGCTCACGATAATTATGATTAAAGTACAAATAGCTGGTTTTGAAGATGATTACCCTTTTTGGATTTGATTCTTAGGGAGACCCAGTAAAGATCTCTGGCCTTTCATAGCAGGCAGGCCTGTGATTAAAGAATTGTCTTCCTAATGAAGATAAATTGCAACCTGGAATTCCCAGGCATCCAGGTGGCAAACTTACCTGTGGGGTGCTTTTGCATTGTTGGTTCTCCAGGTTGATGTTGGAGTAGGTTCAGCAGGATGTCCAAATTGATATTAGGCATACTCATGACAGTTGCTTTTAAGAAATCCTCAGAGTTCTACAACTCATGGTGTACAACTGAAAACCCAGTTTTTAAAGCTGGCCACACGTGAAATCAAACCTCAAAGCATTTCCCACATAGTAAATCTTGGTAGGCACTTAAATTCTGTTATCAAGTTTCTAGTTAGCCTTTCTATATGGCTATTCCACATTCTGTTGGGAACTTGAACTTCACTCCTTTCCTTCTCTTTCTTTCCTTATTCGAATATCTGGATACTTCGAGTTTTGTACATAGCCCATCTCTTGTGTACTCCCCTTTCTTCTCCGTTTATTCTTGGTACAGAATTGTTGTTGTTCAGTCGCTCAGTCGTGTCCAGTTCTTTGCGACCCCATAGACTGCAGCACGCCAGGCTTCCCTGTCCTTCACTATCTCCCAGAGCTTGCTCAGTTTCATGTTCATTGAGTTGGTGATGCCATCCAACCTTCTTGTCCTCTGTCATCCCCTTATCCTCTTGCTTTCAAACTTTCCCAGCATCAGGGTCTTTTCTAATGAATTGGCTCTTTGCATCAGCTGGCCAAAGTATTGGAGCTTCAGTATGAGTCCTTCTAATGAATGTTCAGGATTGATTTCCTTTAGGATTGACTGGTTTGATCTTGCAGTCCAGGGTACTCTGCAGAGTCTTCTCCAACACAACAGTTGAAAAGCATCAATTCTTTGGGACTCAACCTTCTTTGGTCCAACTCTCACATTCATACATGACTACTGGGAAAACCCATAGCTTTGACTAGATGGACCTTTGCTGGCAAAGTAATGTCTCTGTGTTTTAATATGCTGTCTAGCTAGGTTGGTCATAGCTTTTCTTCTGAGGAGGAAGTGTCTTTTGATTTCATGGCAGCAGTCCCTATCTGCAGTGATTTTGGAGCCCAAGAATAAAAGTCTGAATGTGTAGGCCTGGACCTCTTTCAGACAGTATGTGTGTTCCTTGAAGGAACCGGAAAAAGATTTAGATTCTTTTAGGGCTTTCTCCTGAGCCAGTGAGTGTGTGATGGGTATCTCTGCCTTTATGTTGGAAGGAGCAGTCGTAGCTAAGGTAGAATGCCGGCTTCATTCATCTTCTGTTTTTGTAGCCACAAAATATGGTGCATTTGAATCCTTGGTCTCATTTTGCAATTAAATAAGGCACATTACCTCTCAGGCCTGCTCACGTTTTCAGATTTTATGTAGGTGTATTCTGTATAAAGTCTTGTGCATAAAAGCAAGGGGTATAACCAACCTTTGTTCAACTTAGGCTATGAGCGGGTGTCATCAGCCTCCTATGACTTGTTTCTGGCTATTTTATCAGGATTTTTTTCTAAACTCCAGTTTGATAGAGGTTGTTAATGGGATTTCCTAGTCTTCCTGGTTCTGCTATTAGAGTCAGAAAGGACTATTTGGCAGCAGTTCTAAAACTGAAATTGCCTTTGGTAGATGTTTCCAGACTTCTGACTGGTTTATAGATAAACACATGACAAGTCAATCCTTAGAAAATATCATTGTTTAAAACTAGATGTTTTATTGAGTTTTTTTAAAATGATTGGATGACTGATGAATTAACCTGTCTTCCTGAAAGTGTTGTATCTGTGCTCTGGAAATAAAACTCTGGAACTTGATTGGTCATTTTTTCTGATTGTTAGATTAGATCCAAGTATGCTTTTCAAAGATAAATTTGACCTTACTTTTGGATTTTTGTCAGCTTCTCTCTATTTCATGGCAAGATAGCCCCCAACCCAGGAAGATTCCAGTTTTTAGAAAATAAACTCCAATGCATTCAAACTCCACAGTTCATGAAGACATTGCTGCTAAATCGCTTCAGTCGTGTCCCATAGACGGCAGCCTACCAGGCTTCTCCGTCCCTGGGATTCTCCAGGCAAGAACGCTGGAGTGGATTGCCATTTCCTTCTCCAGTGTATGAAAGTGAAAAGTGAAAGTGAAGTCACTCAGTTGTGTCCGACTCTTCACAACCCCATGGACTATACAGCCTACCAGGCTCCTCTGTCCATGGGAGTTTCCAGGCAAGAGTATTGGAGTGGGTTGCTATTGCCTTCTCCGTATGAAGACATTAGGTCCATATTTATTCTATAGTGTAAATGAGCCAGGAAGAATAATGTCAGGTGGGCTGGGAAGGATGATGTCAGTATCATTGTAGATTAACACTTACTCAAAGCTCAGCTAAGATAAGTGGTTTTCAGGAAGCATTACTTAAAGGATGTGCCAGTCAGTCCATTAATTCCTGTGCAGTGGTGGTTCTTAACCTTGGTGGGACATTGGATTCAGCTGGGGAACTTTAAAAAATACTGAAGCCTAGGTGTCTCTCCCAGAGATTCTGATTTAATTGGCTCAGAGCATCCAGTCATGATAAAAGTTTCTCTGGTGAAGCTTTATAATTATCTAGACTGAGTAGCATTTAAAAAACTGAGCCCCATCCCTGGGAGATTTGGTTGTGATTAACCCATGCAGGGCTCAGGCATCAGTAACTTAAAAAAATTTTTCCAGCTATAGTAGTGTGCAGTGTGCAAGCTTTCAAATCATTAGTTTATTCTGAAAACTACCCCTGGAAGTTTTTGTTTACTTTTATGTAGATTTTTTTCCCTCTTTTCCCTGGGATGTAACATTGATCCCTGTATAGTATCGTCTTCATGGAAATGTGCTTTGGTAAGATACTATCATTCTGTGTCGAGGGAACAATAAGAAACAATCCCACAAAACTCATTGCTGTGACTACTGAAAAGATGTTCATTATATTACTCTATCCTCTTTATGAGGACCCTTGGGAGGAATTTGTCTGTTCACTTGAGAAATGGTGTGCTTCTTCTGAACAGTTGGCTTGCTTTTATCTTTAAGCTTGTCTAGCTGATCAGGTTTCTTTTACATAAAAGCCAGAAAGCTTAGTGCTGAATCTTTTGGCCCACCTACAGTAAGTATATAGATCTTCACAGCATGTATTAATATTTTTTGAGAAACTTTATTGCTGTATCCATTTTTTGGGTCACTCACTTGCTTTTGTCGTTCTTTTCGACTTTGAATTGGTTATCTTGGGAATTCCCTGGCGGTTCAGAGGTTAGGATTCCATGCTTTCACCGCTGAGGGCAGAGGTTCAATCCCTGGTCAGGGAACTAAGATCCCATAAGCCTCATGGTGCAGCCAAAAAATAAATAAATAAATAGGTTATCTTGCTATATTTTAGGTATTGCTACCACCTACTTCAAGTTAGTTCTTGAAAATGGAGTATAAATAAATAAAATTACAAAGTTACTCTTTGCTACTGACTCTGGATTGAAAAATAGGAGCAAGAATGACAGTATGTATGTGGGATGGACACTATGTGTGGAAATGATGTATCATCCATTCTTGAAAGTCTGAAAACATGTATTTTAGACTTGACGTGACCTAGACCTCAGGAGTCATCTCCTAGGGGAACCAGAAGTCCTCTGTTGGTGAATACACCTAACAGGAGAAGACTTTTTAGTGTGGCTGAGCAGGCCTTATGGATCTGGTGTCAGGACCTGTGCTCAGACACTGGACGTACATGGATGGATAATTCAGTCTCAGCTATAAAAAAGAAGAGAGTTTACAGTGTGATGAAGAAGAGAGACGAAACAAACTCCAGTTATGGGAATATGCTGGGAATGCTGAAAACTCAGAGGAGATATCTCAAACTTAAATTGTACAAAGCTGAACTCAGTTTGTTAACTATTCTGTCTTGGCCTCGGTTTTAGTCAAGAAGTACCTCCATCACCCCTTACCACCTCATGCGCCCAGACTCCAAGTCAAAGTAATTTTTTTCTTTATTCTTTCTTGTTCACCTAGAAATATAGCCTCCAAAAAAAAAAAAAAAAAGCTTTTATCTACTTACTTGCCAGGATTGACACAATGTCTTGAATTCACCGCTTCTGTCCTGACTGCCTTAGATGAGCCCTTAGGCGCTCGCTGGCTCTAGTACAGACATCTTGAAATTGGCTTTTTCTGTGTTGAGTCTTCTGTTTCAGTTGTGACCTATCTGATAGCCCTCAAACCATTCTGTGGAGCCTGTGGCTCAAGGGATGCTGAGTGCCTGGGGCTCTGAGTTCCCACTCCTGCTTCAGCTAGAGAAACTCCAGGCCTTTTTATGGCTGAGTAATATTCCATTGTATAAATGCACCACAACTTCTTTATCCATTCATCTGTTGAAGGACATCAGGGCTGTTTCCATGTCCTGGCTATTGTAAATATTGCTGCACTTTACAACAGCTAGTGTAAATATTGAGGTACCTTTAGAATTGTGGTTTTCTCAGGGTATATGCCCAGTAGTGGGATTGCTAGGTCACATGGTAGAGTTATTCCTGGTTTTTAAAGGAAACTCCATACTGTTTTCATAATGGCTGTATCAGTTTACATTCCCACCAGCAGTGCAGGAGGGTTCCCTTTTCTCCACATCTTCTCCAGCATTTACTGTTTGTAGGTTTTGTTTTTTTTTGATGATGGCCATTCTGACTGGTATGAGGTGATACTTCATTGTAGTTTTGATTTGCATTTCTCTAATAATGAACAGTGTTGAGCATTTTTTCATGTATTAGTAATAAGGTTTTATGAAGCTTCCCTGGTGGCTCAGTAGTTCCAATGCAGGAGAGATGGGTTCAATCCTTGGGTCAGGAAGATCCCCTGGAGAAGGAAATGACAACCCACTTCAGTATTCTTGCCTAGGAAATCCCATGGACAGAGGAGACTGACAGGCTATAGTCCATGCGGTTGCAGAAGAGTCGGACACAACTTAGCAACTAAAAACAATGACAAGGATTTAGACTCTAATAATAAAATAAAAGAAGGACCAGTGGGAATGACGTTTTTTTCTAGCCAGTGATCCACAGGGTTTGGGGTGGAAATGGGGGAGCAATGGGAAGATTCAGGTTTGAGTTTTAGGGATTAGAATTGGGGTAGCCTTGAGAGTCATAATGAGTTGGGATGAGGAGCTGGCATATGGAATTAGAAGGAAAGACTTGTTTTTAAAATTGAGTCATCACATCCAACTCAATGAATATAAGAATTTTATGGGCTGTTGGAGCTATGAGGCCTTTGACTACTTGTTATGTTTTGAAAACCAGTACAGTTGGAGCAGGAGCCAGATTACGGGGAGTAAAGGAAGATGGTGAAAAGTGAAGGTGTCTTAGAGGGCAGCTATTTGTTTGAGAAATTGGATGAAAGGAAGAGATATATGTAGTAGTTCAAGGGGCATTAAATAGAGTCTTTAATGAGGGGCCACAAAACCCTGCAGGTTGATTCCTTAAAAATTCTTACAAGTATATGGTCACTGAGATTGTATTATACTCATTCATTTGTTCATTTATTCTTTCACCAAGTATTGGGTGCTAGACCCTCTGGCCGCTTCTACCCTTTACTTCAGTCTGGGCTTGGTGCCAGAATCGCCCCTCAGCGGTGAGTACTAGTGTGACAATTACAGGACTTGGGCTGAGGACACTTGGAATAATAAATTGCAGTCATTTCTTCCCTTAATTGGAGCTGGAATTGAAGTTTCTTTCCTTCTTCCCATCCTTCTTGGGAAGGTTGCTCGTCTAGCATCAGTGTGATTCTAGCTATGTGCTGCCAGGTGTTAATGCTCTTAAGTTTCCAGAACCTTTTTAAGCAATGTGTTGTTGTTTTTTTTTTTGTGCTCACAGCAGGTAGAGTGGAAGCCCCAGCTAATAGAGGTCCCACCCCAAACTCAGCTTGATTACACAGTCACCAATCTTGCTGGTGGCCCGAAACCACACTCCCCTTTCGACTCTCAGTACCGTGAGACCACACTGAAGGTGAGCGATGCTTTCCTGCTCTCTGAAGCGCCTTGCAGAGCTGTGATGGTCTGCCCTGGGCTGAGGTTATTTAGCAGGCTGTGAGATTTCTTCCTTCTTCTCTCTCCTCCCACACCTCAGGGGGGCATGTTTGCTGGACAGCTGACCAAGGTGGGCATGGAGCAGATGTTTGCCCTCGGGGAGAGGCTGAGGAAGAACTACGTGGAGGACATCCCCTTTCTTTCGCCAACCTTCAACCCACTGGAGGTCTTGTGAGTCACTTGAGAAAGGAATATTGCACCCAGTGTTAGGTCTTGAGTGTGAGAAAACCTGTCCTGACCCTCTGTGCAGTTCCCACTCTCATCCGAGGCGGTCTAGGTGGGAGGTGTGAGGGTGATCTGGCTGGCTAGGCTGGTGTCCCCTTCCTCTCTCACTTTCCTGTGTGTATCCCTCCTGATGCTGCATGCTCTGTCGAAGAGGACGACCTTCCCTGAGAGAGGAGAACCGTTCTTCAGTCAAGGGTATACAAGAAGCTGCGTTTCCTTGCTAGAACCTCCTAGGCAGTCTGGGGACAGTTACCCTAATATGATAGGATTTGGAGAACAAATGGTCCCTGGAGGTCATGTTCACTGGCCCTCAGGTCCCTTGGGCAGCCATCCCACAGAGAGAAAGGGTATTTCCCAGCCCTCTAGCTCCCTTTTGGGGCTTCCCCAGTGGCTCAGATGGTAAAGAATCTGCCTGCAGTGCAGGAGACCCACGTTCGATCCCTGGGTTGGGAAGATCCCCTGGAGAAGGGAATGGCCACCCAGTCCAGTATTCTTTTTTTTTTTAATTAATAATTTATTGTCAGTAAGAAAGACTGGTTAATGGTAGTTTTCAGTAAAAACCTTTACAAGACCTTGCATCACAAATATACAGACACTATAAAAATTGTGTCCTGGTGGTTTTGGTTCTAAACGATTCTACAGAAGGTCCTCATTACACTTTCCAATAATGAAAAATGTTTATAACCCTAAAATACAGCAACCCATTTATTTAAGACATGTTCATGGATCAGGTCTGTCCTCATCCTATGTACAGCTGACTATACTGAATGACTATACTGAAATGTATGAATGAAATGTCCTACTTAAGTAGAAAAAGACAGAGAGTGAAACCTTGGTTATATTAAAAAAAAAAAAAATCAGGGTGCTAGGTAAATAACACGAACACTACCAAAATCTGGTCAAAAACAAAATGCACGAAGAAGTTATCTTGAAAATCTAGGGGAAAATTATGAAAAATCAAATCTGTACATAAAATTTACAAAAAAAAAGACAGGAAAATTAAAATAATCAAATCTATGTAAATACATGAATCATGCTAAAGACAGAGAGAACCAGTCCAGTATTCTTGCCTGGAGAATTCTATGGACAGAGGAGCCTGGCAAGCTATAGTCCATGGGGTCGCAAAGAATCAGGCACAAGTAAGTGACTAACACTGTAGTAGCTCCCTCTATGTAGTTTAGAAAGCCTATGAGTGCTCTGTGGAATAAGGTAGTATGCACATGTAAATCTTCCTTCTATGAGTTTCTCTATGTTTTTGTTTTGTTCCCAGCATCCGTTCCACTAACATCTATCGGAACCTGGAGTCTACCCGCTGTTTGCTGGCTGGACTTTTCCAGCGTCAAAAAGAAGGTCCGAGTCCAGGGTCTACAAGTCAGCCCCTGTCCCTGAGGTGCCTTTTCGTCTTGCTTCCAAAGCCCCGCTCTCTCTTTCTGGATGTCTGTCCCCACCTGGGTCTCTCTCCTGCTCCTGGGGCCTCTCTGGGGTACCAGCTGAGCGGCGGGCCCCTCCCTGTCTGGCCTGCCGCTGCACTGCCAGCCTGACCTCACACCTACACCGACATGTCAGCTGCTCTGATGCACCCCTGGCTCCTGACGTTTTCTCTCAAGTGTCTACACAAGCTGCATAAGGTAGCTGCAGCCAGATTTTTCAAACAATACCTGGGACTTTTTGTTTAGTTGAGACACTGCTGGAAAGGAAAGAGAGTAAGAGGAACTCTTCACTGGGACCCAGGCCTGCTGCCACGGCCCTGGTCTTGGTGATAATCCACAGCATAACCCAGGTGGTGTTAACAGTGTCCCATATGCCCTTTCCCAGTTAAGGAAGTCTGTTGAGTTTGGGTTTTGACATATTCAGCCAGTGAATGATCACACTAGTGGGTTCTGCAACTTTCCACCCTCAAGGACCACTTCTATTATTTTCCCTTATGGATCTCATGTAATTGAGGGCTTTTAACTATTAAGTGAAGCTGCATTTTGTCATTTGTAATTGATTCAAATTTACACTTAATTACTGGTCTGAGTTTCAGATCATCATGACCTCACCAATGTTAAAATACTCAAATGATACCATAAGGCAAAAGTTCTTGTTACTTTGTTTAGCTTCTTTAGCCTTATCTCAAATAGAGATAAAATTTCCATGAGGCTTTTAAAAAGTGTAAGATATAGAACCTCCAGACCAAAGGAGGCTGGCCTTGCTCCTAGCTGGTTTGGACTATGGCTGCTAATTCTGGCTGGCGTTGGCTGAACACAAACAGCCTAAGTAACAGAGCAAACAGGATGGCCTGCTCCTTACCTTTTGGGAGCCCCTGAGCTTAGGAATAGTCTATAGTGCATGGCCTTCTGAAAACTGTTCACTTGCTCAGTTTCTGAAAGGCAAATGTCCTGTCCCCAGAACCCCCTAAAGTATAAGTAATGTAGAAAGGGTGTTTTTTGTTAGCAGCCTGATCTACAGGCGGGTCTCAGACTCAGGCTGCCCCAGGTTTCCTGCGAGGAAGGAAGTGGTATCATCACCAACTGCTGGTGTGGCTGCCTGGGTAGCCGTTCCCTGCGCTGGACTCAGACAGCCTCACACTCCAACTTGACTTGTGTCCTGGCTACTTCCTTGCCTTGGCCAGTATCATGGGATTTGGATAGACCAAAGAACCCCACAAGGTGCTAACATTGGTGGGAGTGGTTCACCTTTGGGATATTGTTTCAAGAGTAAAATCCTAGCGAAGTCCAAGAAGGTTTTGAGTAAGCTCCAGAGAATCAGGCCAGTGGGGAAGGGCTGAGGGGGTTGCTCTGTATCATTTGGTCATTCATTCCTTCAACACATATATGAGTGCCAGCTCAAATACCTTATTTATCATAAACTGAAGGTCTGTTAACCAGACATTCATGGCAGGTACCAGGTAGGACTTACCATGTGTTAATTAGAGGCTTACATCATAGTTACTATTATTCTCACATTTAAAGGACATCAAGCATGGTTCTAAGATCTTTGCAGATACTGACTTAATTCTTGTGATGTAGGTAGCATCCCTATTTTACAGATAAGAGAACTTAAGGCAGAGGATAAAGGACTGTCTGAGGTACATAAAGCTAGTAAATGGAGGAGCTGGGGTTCAAATTCTGGCAGTCTGGTTTCACAGTCCATACTTTTCACTCTTGTGCCATCTTGCTTCTCAGAAGACTTGGGTATCTGGAGAGGGCCTCTGATCATGAGGTCTGTTTTACGTGTCCTGCAGAACTCCAGGATTCTTCAGAGGGGTTAGGAACTACAGAAAAGGAGTGGAATGAGGCATGCAAGTACACCGTGCTTCAGACCCCTGCCTTGAAGCCCTCAACCCCTTTACTTTTATTACCTTATTTCATAGTGGGAGAAGAAAAGCTCCCACTACTTTAGAAACAATTGGAAATTGCTGGTACTAGTCTCACCCCTTCAATTTACATGTGATCCCCAAAGAAGAGAAGTGACTTCCCAAAGTCATCCTGTTGGTTGGTTGTAGATTCAGGGCTAAACTCATGACACAGTCCGATTTCCTTCTCCTGTCCAGACCAGCCAAGTGTGTGTGAATTCTGGTATTCTGCTCAAGTTACCATAGGCTGCTCTTTAATCCTGAGGTTTTTACTATCAGTAATTTGTTTGGGAATGGTAGTTCTTTGGGGTTTGGATTCACCGGAGGGCTTCCCAGGTGGCACTAAAGAATCTGCCTGCCAATGCAGGAGATACAAGAGATGTAGGTTTGATAGCTGGGTTGGGAAGATCACCTGGAGTGGGAAATGGCAACACACTCAGTATTCATGCCTGGAAATTCCATGGGCTGAGGGCTTGGCGAGCTATAGTCTATGGGGCCGCAAAGAGTTGGATACAGCCGAGTGACTGACCACATAATATAGCAGTCATTCCACAGACTGACCTCAGTGAATTCCATAAAGGTCCTCTGCCATCGGAGAAGAAGAGGCTTGAGCTGTGTAGAACAGGATGCTGGTGCAGAGCAAAGCATGTAAAGGTGTTAAAGCACCTCCCTTGGGCATTGACAGGAGACGAGGGTTACCTGTCAGCTCTGAGCAGGAGCAAGCTGCTGCGAGGTGTGTAAGAGACACTGTTTGTAGTCTAATCTTTGGTTCCTGCTAGTGTATCTAGAAGCCTGGCTTTTCTTTTGGGCAAGGCCATGGGGTCTTAGAGGATTTGTGACCCTGTGGGCACCTTTCTCAGATCGTTTCATAAGTCACCATATTGGTGTATGCATGCATGCATGCTAAGTTGCTTCAGTCATGTCCGACTCTTTGTGACCGTATGAACTGTAGCCCACCAGGGTCCTCTGTCCATGGGATTTTCCAGGTAAGAATACTGGAGTGGGTTGCCATGCCCTCCTCCAGGGTATCTTCCCAACCCAGGGATTGAACCTGCATCTTACTTTTCCTGCATTGGCAGGAAGGATCTTTACCACTAGTGCTGCCTGGAAAACCTACATTGGCCTATAGGTTTGCAAAGCAAGAAAATCACCTTGTTCTGCTAAAGTAAAGGATGGCCCATTTGTTAGAATCTCTGAGTGCTGGTAGTATCTTGAGGCAGGCATTTTTTTTTGGAATGTGTCATAGATGTGCCTGGAGTAGGAAATAGCTTCCTACTCCAGTATGGTTGCCTAGAAGATCCCATGGACAGAGGAGCCTGGCAGGCTACAATACATGGGGTTGCAACGAGTCGGACACGACTGAGCGTGGAGGTGCCAGTCTGATCAGGTCTGTACCTGCTCCCGCTATAGGTAGCCCAGCAGGAGAGCCAGGCTGCTGCATGCTTTCTCAGACCACAGGGGAGCTCCTGTTGGCAAAGCCAGGGCATGTTGAGGGCACTTCCTGTCCTTAGGGAGTAACCTGGATGAAGGCCTCTGGGAACAGCTCCATCTGTGTAGACAAAGAGAAGAAGGGGGTGGAGCTGCCGGGAAGAGTAAGCTGAAGCCTCTTCCTGCCTGTGCTTCCCACCTTCCTTCCAGGACCCATCGTCATCCACACTGACGAAGCAAGCCAGGAAGTCTTGTACCCCAACTACCAATACTGCTGGAACCTGCAGAAAAGAACCAGGTAACTGCTCCTGATTCTTGTTCCTCAGGGTGGGGGTACAGGCAGCATTGTACCACCTCTGCCAGGAGACTGGCTGTGCCGGTGGATATTGGGTAGGAGAGATGGCATTAAACTTGGGTCTGACATCAGCTGTCCAGGATGGGAGGCAGCTGTTGCTCACAGGACAGGCTCATGGTGAAGGTACAGGACAGCCAGGGAGACCCACACGCTGGGCTGAGAGATGGTGTATACAGCCACGCGTGGGGCTTCACCATTTACCGAGCATTGTCCTTTGTGTTCAGTCCTGGGCTATCAGATGGGGTAACTGAAGAAACTTATGGAAAAGATGAGTAAGCCAGTCATTAACTGCAAATCTAGATGGGCACGCCAAAGAAGACACAGATTCCCCTTCTCTTACCAATGTGCTGCTGTGTAGGTTTGGAGCTGATGGCACTATTCAGGTTTTAGGTATTTTGGAACTGCACTTACACTATGTAGAGGGTGTTCCCCAGAAGAAGGAGACGTGTTTTCAAGCAGATCTGGCCACGCTTGCATTGTTTTGGGTATAATAGAAGGGAATGCTAGAATGGGATTTGGAAAATCCATTATTCTAGCCCTGGTATGTACTAAGTCACAAGTCAACTGGCCTCCTAGAGTTTACCCATCTTTAAAATGACAATTATACTAGCTAACCCCAGTGAGTTTTTGAAAGGCAAATGAGATCCTAAATGACGAATGAGATACACTTTGTAAACTTAATAACCATACAGTATAAAGAAATATAAGGAATAACTTTTTTTATTTTTCGGCAGAGGCCGGAGGCAGGCTGCTTCTTTGCAGCCAGGAATCTCAGAGGATTTGAAGAAAGTGAAGGAAGGAATGGACATTGCCAGTAGTGATGAAGTGGACTTCCTCGTCCTGCTGGACAATATGGCTGCTGAGCAGGTGGGCTGGCTGTCCTCCTCGGGCTCTGGGAGGGTGGGGGAGCCTGGGCAAGACCTGGTGGGCTGGCTCCCGAGTTAGAAGTGGGTGGAGGCCTCCTGGCCTGGAGGCGGCTGTGAAAGCACTTGCTGGCAGAATGGACCTGGGAACTGAGGGGTAGGGTGGACTCCTCACCAGATGAGGAGCATAGACATTTAAACTCTTGACCAGAGTTCCTTGAAGCATATTCACTAGAATACCCATGACGCAAGTGTGTATAATGTGGGCAGGCAGGGCTGGGGTGGGTGATGGGTAGGGAGGGATTGTGGTCTAAAAAGTTTGGAATGCCTCTTTATTGTATCACTTTTTGGAGAGTCTGTATGCACGTCAGCCTATTAAAGAACCCAAGAGCACGGTGGTAAAGAAAACTGGTTAATCTTTAATTCTGTTTTTCTCAAGCTTGTTTAGCCCTAGAATCTTTTTTTTTCCCAATAAATACTGAAGGCCACACAATGGGAAATGCTGCTCTCACATTCAGAAGTCAGACTCCCTAAGTCTGTACAGTCTGTCCTTCCTTCTCTTGTGAAGATGACAGTGTGCCCTGAATGCAGAAACGCACCTTATGCTTATGTGTAAAATAGGTTTAAGGTTATAAAACAAGAGTTGATAAAGTATTTATATGGCATCCTTTTTAGAAACCATTTTGGGGATGATGAAGGATGAGTAAAAATTTATGAATCCCTTGCCTTGTATTTTATTTAATTTTTTTTTTAGCTTAAAAGAACACAAATGTTTTTAACTTTGGAGTAGATGAGCATCAGAAAGAGAGGAGAAAACAATTTTTCTCTGGACCTTCAGATCTGGAGGAATAGCTTCTGACAGGCCTTGGGGACATAGAGTTTTGAGCCAGTCTCTCTCTGGGAGAAGACAGTTCCCTTGGACTCCATGGAAGCGGATCGGCCACCAGGCTTATTGGATGAGTATTTCTTTCTAAAACTGTACCCATGGCCTGTTCAGGTGCACAACCTCCCGAGCTGCCCCACACTGAAGAGGTTTGCATGGATGATTGAGCAGAGAGCTGTGGACACAGCCTCGTACATCCTACAGTGGGAAGACAGGTGAGGGGGGGGCTCTTCAGCTGCTGGCATACAGTCACGCTTGGTCAGGCCTCCCAGAGTGTGGGGAAGGGGACTCGTCAGGCCCGCTCACACCTGTCAACTGGCGTTTCTGTGTGCAGAGGTTGAAATCACCCCATTCTGCTGGCCTTCTGAATAGACTTGGCCCTGGGTCCTTCCATTTCTGGAGCGGGGACTGGTGATGTAGTGTTTTCATTCACTGTTACACAAAACCGGGAGCTGCCACTCAACTGAGTTTCTCTCTCTCTCTTTTTAAAGTATTTACTTTATTTTTATTTATTTATTTATTTGGCTGTGCTGGGTCTTAGTGGCAGCATGTGGGATCTAGTTCCCTGATCAGGGATCAAACCTGGGCCCCCTGCATAAGGGAGCATGGACTCTTAGCCACTGGACCAGTAGGGAAGTCATTTGATTGAGTTTCTCTTAACCACCGACTTTTTCCTTTGCTTTAAGTTTCAAAACATTAGGGTACCAGGGGATGCTGAAGGAAGAATAATTATTGCTCATTTTATTCATCACGTTACAGTTTACAAATCATTTTCTTGTTCTCGCCATGAGGTTGGTGTCAGTATCCCTGACAAGTCCAAGTCCTGGCTTTAGAGATGGAGAAACTGGGCCCGAGAGATGTGGGCCACCTTGCCTAGCTCAGCTAGCAAGTGGTGGAGGCAGGACTTGAACCCAGATCTTTTGACCACCAATCCTGTGTTTTCTCTGTTTTACTGGTATTTAGGGCTCCCTTTATAGAAGGCCTATTTCCTATCAGAATGGAGGGTCTCTCTCTTCCCAAATATAAAAAAACACCTTTTAATGGTTGGTTCAGAGCATTCAGCTTGTATTCAGAATAGGTGACTTGGTAAGAGGGGGGAGTATAGAGGGGAAGTCCTGAGGAAGATGAGTGGGAGGAAAAAGCCACTAACATTTTAAGAATTTGCTTGATCTTGTAAAGAATAGAAGATCTTGCATAAGGAGCCTCTGCCTGCTTTTCTCCCGCTCAGTCAGTTCACCCATTTTGCACTTGCCTCGGGCTTCTGGAAGGTTCCAGCCACACCTCTCAGCTCGCTGCCACTCCTGTGACCGACCACCTTCCCTCATCTTTTCCTGAAGTGGCCCCACTGTTCCTAAATTGTCACTCACTGCCTTCCCCTCCACTAGCACATACTTACATATATCCTTTTTTGGCTGCGCTGGATGCTCGCTGCTGTGTGCCCAGGCTTTCCCTAGTTGCAGCAGGGGTTACTCCCTAGTTGTGGTGCACAGGTTTCTCACTGCGTGGCTTTTCTTGTTGCAGAGCACAGGCTCCAGGTGCATGGGCTTCAGTAATTGCCACACCAGGGCTCAGTAGTTGTGACAAACAGGCTTAGTTGGTCTGTGGCATGTGGAGTCTTCCTGGACTAGGTATTCAACTCATGTCCCCTGCCTTGGCAGGTGGATTCTTATCCACTGTGCCACCAGAGGAATCCATACACACATATTTAATAAATATATTAGGCTTTGCAGGCCGTGCATTATCTGCTGTGTCTATTCATCTTGGCCCATGTAGCATAAAAGCAGCCATAGATGATACACAAACAAATGGGCACAACTGTGTTCCAGTGGAACTACTTACAAAAACGGGCAGCCGAGTTGAACTTGGCCCACAACTATTGTTGCTTTCTGCTGCATTTTAAACAAGATCTGGGTCCAATCCACTTTCTTTTCCATTAGCCCTGGTTTCTTAAAATTGATGTTTATTCAGGAACAAATGGTTCTAGTTTCACGATGCCATCCAAATTGCCTTGGCCTGCACGAATTCTTTCGCAAGTATATGCTGCTTTATAGTATTGGTTGCCTACTCCTCAACTGTTGCTTCAACTTTCCTTGATTTGTAAAAGTGGCCAGTCGCCATGAATAAGGATTGGTCTAAACCAGGCATGGAAAGTCTTTTTGTCAGTGATTGGGTCCTGGGAATTCTGGGAAAGATTTTTCTTCTCTTTGATAAAAAGTGAGAGTCACCCAAACCAAGGCTTTCTGCTGCTTACTAGCCCCCATGTTCCTGCTGTTACTTCTCAAATATGCTTTGAGTTGAGGTAACCAGCTGTGATCATGAGGTGACCACCCTGAGAAGGAAAGCAGTGGAGCCACAGTGCCCAGCCAACAGCACTAGTGCTGAACTTGTTAAATCAGATAAATTAAGAAAAGCCCTTATGGTCTTGATGCCAAAGAAGGGGAGCTGGCACATAGGAAGTGTAGTTTAGGCGATTTCCCTTCAGATGGCTCTTCTAAGGGCCTTCTGGAATTCCTGGAATTCATTACACCCTGTCCTTCCAGTTTTGGCCTAGCTCTCTATTACTTATGCTGGTTGCCATCCCCTCACCCCTCCCATCTCAGCCACGTTCATACCAGGTCTGTATCCTGCTGCTGTTTACAGTCTTGGCGCATGGAGAGCCCTCGGACTTGAGGCAGTGCTGTTTCTGTCCTTCCTGCCCGTCTCTGTCCTTCTTGCATCCCTTGTCTTGTCTCTGCTCTGTGACTGGGCTCATGAGGTTCTGGGGGGCAGAAGCAGACTGCATCCCCTGTGGGCCGAGTCCCCACTAGGTTCTTCAGTACTGTTTAATCACCACAGGGAGAGCCTTCAGATGGCAGTTGGCCCATTCCTCCACATCCTGGAGAGCAACCTGCTGAAAGTCGTGGACCCTGCCACTCCGCCCAGCAAGACCAGGTACTTGGCCGAGCAGCTTGGCTTGGCATGACTGAGGAGGGTGGTGGTGGTGGGGCTCTGGCTACAGGGAGGGAACCCAGGTTCTAGGAGGGTGGGAACCAGGCCATCAGTAATTGAAAGTAGATGTTTGAGGCTATGTGTCCCAGAGACATTCACAATGTTTCTACCTTTCTTCCTGACACATCTGTCCTACCATGTTTTGATATGTTCATTTTAGTAGAAAAGAACCCTAAATTAATTTTTCCATTTTTTAAAACTAATTGAACATGCATCCAATGGAATAACTAGGACATCACAACTCCGGGAGTTGGTGATGGACAGGGCCGCCTGGCATGCTGCAGTCCATGGGGTCGTAAAGAGTCGGACACGACTGAGCAACTGAACTGAACTGAACTGATTTGGTGTTAAAGTAGCCCCAAACAATGATAGTTGCTTAATAGATTGTTTAAACACCTTCATTGAGTATATTGGAAGATAGGAATTCTCCTGGGCATTTAAAAATGTTGTAAGTGGCTTGTGAACCTCCATGGCCACTTTTGGGGTGCCTGGAACTCCAGGTTAGGGACCATGGACTTGGAATGTGTGTCCAAGGCACTTGGTAGACAAAGTGTGGTCTGCAGATAAACAGCTTCACCATCACCTGAGATTGTTTGATTTTCCACCACAGCCTGACCCACTGGATCAGAGTCTGCCTTTTAACAAGACTCCCAGGTGGTGTGTAAGCCTGCTGATATTGGAGAAAACACTTTGCGACCCCATGGACTGTATCCCACCAGGTTCCTCTGTCCATGGAATTCTCCAGGCAGGAGTACTGGAGTGAGTAGCCATTCCCTTCTCCAGAGGAAACTTCCCAACCCAGGGATCAAACCTGGGTCTCCTGCATTGTGGGCAGATTTTTCACTGTTTGAGTCACTAGGAAAGGCCATCTACTCCAAAGGAGTTTGTTTGGTTTTTTCCTCACATTTATTTATTTGGTTGTGCTGGGTCTTCATTGCAGCACGCAGGCTCCAGTAGTTGCCCCAGAGCATGTGAGATCTTAGGTCCAGGACCAGGGATCAAACCCATGTCCCCTACACAGCAAGCTGGATTCTTAACCGCTGGACTACCAGGAAAGTCCCTCAAAGGAGATTCATACCAGGCTCAACTGATTTCTAGATGTCACCCGGTTTCCTCACTCAAAGGAGGCAGGTGATGTCCCAGCCTCCAGAGTCCTGAGGTGAAGAACTATGGAGAACTCTTTTCTTCTTGCAGGAAGCTGTACCTCTATGCAGCTCACGATGTGACCCTCATGCCTCTGTTAATGACCCTGGGAATTTTTGACCACAAATGGCCCCCATTTGCTGTGGACCTGACCATGGAACTCTACCAGCACCGGGAGTCTAAGGAGTGGTTTGTGCAGCTCTATTACCGAGGGAAGGTAAGACCTCTGGGGTATGGTTGGGAGGCGGCTGGGCCACCCGGCCCACCCGGTTTAGCATGAAGTTGCCTGCTTGGGCCCAGGGAGTCTCCACTGGTACACAAGCTCTCTGGATCCTCTCATGGCTGTGGCCCAGGGATAAGGCAGAACTGGGTCCATAGTGGCAGGCTGGGGCTGGAACAATGTCCTGGTTCTGCCACAGAACCCTTCTAACAACAGGACCACCCATCTCTTCTCCTGAGGGTCTCTCTCAGGATGTAACTCCTGACTGTGAGGCCTGTTTTGAAAATTAATATGATGAGGTCTTTGGGAGGTGATGTGTACTATCAACACCTCTGGTGCCTTGGCCACTTCAGCAGGTTTCTGACAGGGCACAGGCTGAACACTCCCTAAGGTCAGACCTTTAGCCTTCCCAGGGGTATAACATCAATGTGTCTTCCAGTCACTTCAACCAACAGTTACTAAGTGACTTTCATGAGCAGGGCATAGTGCTTTTAATCTGGAAGCTGACTGATTAATGGGGGCTTCTTGGCTGTACATATGTATGTATACATCTGATTGTGTCAGAGCCTTTTAGAACTCTGGACACAGGTGAAAACAGCTAGACAGGGTCCCCAGTACCACTGCTGAGTTACATCTCTTCCACAGGAGCAAGTGCCAAAAGGTTGCCCTGACCGGCTCTGTCCACTGGACAAGTTCTTGAACACCATGTCAGTTTATACCTTAAGCCCAGAAAAATACCACATGCTCTGCTCTGAAGCACAAGTGATGGGACTTGGAGAGTGATTGATTTGTACAAGTAAGATGTCTGGATTTTTAAAATAAAACGCCTTTACACAATGCCTCCAGCTGTTTGGTTTGGGGAAGGCAGGAACAAGGGCTAATGGACTTTAACATAAGGTAAGGGTATTTCTTTCCTATAGGTATATTAAGGTCTCTTCTTAAAAGGAAAAGGGTATAATGTTGAGACCAAAAGGATGTATCCTATTTTGTGACTTGATTTCCATGGCAACTGCCTGTGACATGGGGCTTCCCTGGTGGCTCAGATGGTAAAGAATCTGCCTGAAATGTGGAAGACTGGGTTCCATCCCTGGTTTGGGAAGATCCCCTGGAGAAGGGGATGGCTACCCACTCCAGTATTCTTAACTGGTGAATTCCATGGGCAGAGGAGCCTTAGTGGGCTACAGTTCATGGTTTTGCAAAGAGTCGGACATGACTGAGCGACTAACACTTTCCTTTTCTTGCCTGGGACATGAGCTATGGAATTGCATGTGGTTTTGGACCTCAGTTCTTTTCCTGTCTTCATTTCACACACATATATTGGACACCTACTAAGCCCCATGTCACAGGCAGTTGCCATGGAAATCAAGTCACCTTTCATTATAAGGGTGAAAGGTTTCTGCCCTCAAGTTTTTTCAGTCCAGTAGGAGAGGCAGATAAAGTATATCAGTGATGACAATACAGTATGGTTCATCCTGTGATAAGGTATATCGAGGGCTATCTGGGTTCAGAGATGACACTTTCAGCCCTGATTGGCAGGGGCTGGGGGGAGCAGTTAAAGGTTTTTTGGTAGGTTCTGCCCTGACCTGAATAGAGAAAAATGAGTGAGTCGTAGTTAACCAGTTAAGTAAGGAGAAAAGAGTGTCATGTAAAAGGTCAGCTAACCAGGTAAACAAGGAGGAAAGGGTGTCATGTGAAAGGTCAGGGCGCATAGCTGGGCAGTGAGGTGGAGCCCTGCTGTGGAGACCCAGCGGGGAGGTCACTGGCTTCTGGTGGCTGTAGCTTTAGGAGCGTAAGTGAGGTCTCCACATGGTGGGTCAGGACCACTCTCAGCATATGTGCTCTACCTTGACATGGGCCTCCAAAGTTACTTGATGGTCCCCTATTTCCTTTTCAATTTTCTCATTCTTTCCCAGAAGCTATTTCAAACTTTCTCTGACCTCAAACCATCCCTTTATTTCTCAGAGAAAACAGCAAGCACAAAAACCTCTCTGCTTCCCACTGTCTTTATGGTGATGACTCCCAGGTCTCCTTCTCTAGTTCAGGTTTTTTCTTCCAAGCTTCAGACCCTCATGTCCACTTGGATGTCCCATAGACACAGAATTTTCCCTCTCTCCTCCTAGACCTGCCATCCCCACAAGCCTGCCTTATTTGAATGGAAGACACCTCCACCACCCACTCAGTTGCTAAACCAGAAATCTATCCTTATCTCCTTCCTCTCACATTTCTCTGTGTCTGATCTGTTAAGTTCTATCAATCCCACCTGTTTATGTCTTAAATACATTAATATCTTCTTATCCTCAACCTTCAATATCCCTTCACCCTACTAATTGCTGTGTTTATTTCACTAAGAAAGTAAAAGCAATCAGAAGAGAACTTCCATCTCCATCACCCCGCCCCAACCTGCTAACCCAGCTGCACTGGTACCTACAAGGCCCTCCTTCCTGTTACTAAGAATGAACCATTCCTACTCCTATCGAAGGCCAACCCTCCAGCTTTGCTTTAATCCCTGTAATTATTTCTTTCCTGTATTGTTAATTTTCTCTTCCTACCAGTTATTCCCATTAGCTTACAAACATGCCGTAAAATCTCCTGTCTTGAAAAATGTTTCCCACATCTTTGAAGCACTCTGCTATTTTCTTTTCCCCTTTATAACAAAACTTCTCAAAAGAGTTGTTTATACCCTGATTCTTCCGTTCCCCGTCTCTCTTGAACCAACTGTGATTTGGCGTTCACCCCTACCACTCCATGGAAACAGCTTTGTTAAAATCATCAGTGACCTCTGAGTGCTAAATCAGTAGCCAGTTTTCATTCTTCTTACTCAACTTCTCATTAGCACTCTTGGAATAGTTTCTTCATTTGGCTTCTATGGCAAATGGTTTTCCTCACTTCTTCTCAGTATTCTCTGAATCTACCTTTTAAAAATCTCTAAATGTTGGAATATCTCAAGGCTTAGTCCTTGGACCTTTTCTCCTACATTTACCACTGCCCACCACCACCACCCTTGCCCCCCCTCACACCTTTGGTGATGTCAAGCTATTCTGTAACTTAAAATATTATTTACATAATGTCTCCCAAATTTATACCTTCATTCTGGACCTTTCCCCTGAATTCTGGTCTCATTTCCAGCTGTTTACTCAACATCTCTGCGTGGATATTTAAGATATTTAATGTGTATTAAACTTCCCATTGCCTGTGCTGAACTCTTAATTCTCACTCCTCTTCTTTTCCACACCTTCTCCGTCAAAGTAAATGGCATTACCATTAACCCAGTTGGTTGGGCCAAGAACTTTGGAGTTACCCTTCACATCTGTCCTTTTCTTATGTCCTACATCTAATCCATCAGTAAATCCTATTGTGCCTTATCCAGAATTGACTGCTTCTCAAGACTTCCATTGCTACTATTCCAGCAACACCACTCACCTGGACTATTTCCAAGTCTCCTGTTTCTGTGCTTTCCCTCTCTGCTAATTTATTCCCAACACTGGTGTTGCTTTTAAAATACGAGTCAGATCATGTCAGGCTTCTGCTCAGAATTCTTCCCAGGCTTCCCATCTCAAAAAAAGAGCCAGTCATAATGGTGGTCAAGGCCTTTATGTAACTCCCTTTCCTCCCCGTCTCTTCTCACTGGGCTCCAGCCACACTGGTCTTGTCTCCCAGGAAGTCCCAAGGCATGTCCTCACCTCAGGCTCTTTGTGCTCACCCTTCCCCTCTCTGGAATGTTCTCCTAGGCATGGGCATTTTAGGTTCCCTCTCTTCATTCAGATCTCAGCTCACTGTCATCTCTGGGAGACCCTTCCATATTGTCCTATATGAAATATTTCAGATCCACCCCCTTACTCTACCTACAGCCCAATCACACTCTGTCTCCTTGTGTGGTGGGCTGAATTATGTCCACTTAAAATTCATATTTCGAAGTCCTAACCCCCAGTACCTCAAATGGGACTGTATTGGAGTAGAGCCTTTAAGGAGGTAGTTAAGGTAAAAAGGTGATATGGATGGGCCCTCATCCAATGTCTGGATAAGGAAGAGAGCATTAGGACTCTGACACAGAAGGAAGACCATGTGAAGACACAGGGAGAGGATGGATATCTATGAGCCAAGCAGAGAGGCCTCAGAAGAAACCAGCCCTGCTGCCACCATGATCTTGAACTTCCAGAACAGTGAGGAAATGCAGTTCTGCTGTTTAAGTCACCTGGTCTGTAGTATTTTGCTCTGGTAGCCCAAGTAAACCAATCCACCTTGTCTTCTTTTCCATTGTGGTTTTTCTCAGTGCTTGATATTACACGTCTGTGCATTTATTTATCTCTCCGACAAGAACATGAACTCCATGAAGGCAGACTTCATCTTGTTCACCCATGTGTCCCCAGCACTGAGAATGGTGCCTGGCACATGCTAGTAGTCACACATGGATTGAGTGAGTGAGCACATTCCTTTTGCCTCTGCTCTCCTGGGCTCATGCTTATCCTCCCAGGTTACTCGGTACTTTCCTATTGGGTCATCCCCTCTGAGATGTGGCCCCTGCTTACCTCTCCAGCCTCATCCTTCATGCCCCCTCACGCATCCCCAGACTGAACTGTTTCAAGAAAAGTAAGTCTGGCCCTTGTGACACACTCTTCCCTTCCCTGACCCCGATACACCCTCTCTTGCCCAACTGTCCCTCTCATTTCTTTTTTTTTAAGGAGAGGGGAGAGACTTTTTTTTTTTTTTTTAGGAATTGGTCCCCACAGTTGTGGGGACCAGCAAGTCTTTAGGAAGGGGACTCAGGTAAGAGCTGGTATTGCCATCTTGATGGTTGGAAACTCAGGCAGAATTTCTGTGTTGCTGTCTTAAGAATTCCTTCTTCCTTTTCTTGTACTTCTTTTTTTTTTCTTTGGCCACACCTCACAGCATGTAGTAGTTCCAGGACCAGGGATTGAACCCACGGCCCCTGCATTGGAAGTGTGGAGTGTTAACCACTGGACCACCTGGGAAATCCCTATCCCTCGCATCTGGATACCTCCCGTGTTTCTGTCTGTCCGTCAGTAGGGTGCACCTGTCTTGTCCATTGCTATGTTCTTAGAGCCAAGTACAGGAAGTGGTACAAAGTAGACTTCAGCCGATGCGCTGAATGGGTTCCGCTGGCTCCCTATCCATGCTTCTGCCTGGCAGGAAGGGGGCTTCTGCCTGGCAGGAAGGGGGCTTCTGTGCACTCTTCCCCACTCACCACCAGGGGGAAGCATAGAGTAGGGGAAACGAGGCTTCTGCTGGGTTCACATTCTGATGCTAACAGTTGTTTCTTTGAGACCCTTGGACAGGTGACTCAGCCTGCTTTTCCTCTCATGTAAAATGGAGATAATTATTAACTATTATCAACTTATTAACTAATTAGGGTTGTTGTGAGAACTGAGTAAACGTAAGAGCCTTCCAATGCTCCTTTTTGCCCCACTGGGCTCAGCACCAACAGCTTCCTCAACCAGTCAGGCGCTTCGGACTGCTCTTTCCAGCTGCCCTCTCTGCAGGCTGGGCTTCCCTCCACCTGCCCTTACCAAGGAGAGCACGCCTGTGTGTGAAGGAGAGCACGCCTGTGTGTGCAGGAGAGCCCTGGCCCCTGTCTGGCCGGTTGTGTGACTGTGGGCAAGACATTTAACTTTTCCGAGCTTGTGCTTTCCCAACTGCAAAACAGTGATGTTACTATTTCCCTAACCTGACAATTTGTTCTGAGGATGGATGTGAAAAGCACAGCATAGCCTAACCTGCCCTTGGCCTCGACTAGTTTCTCTCAATGCGTTTAAAATGAGTGTTGTTAAGGTTGAAATAATTTCCAGAGGGGACCTCACCCTTGGATGGCAAAATAAAGGGCCTTGCAGGAGACAGGAGAAAGGTCACTCCTCTTCCCCCACATAACCGAGACTGTTCCGATAGGCTGATTTCTTGGGAACTTCACCTGATGGACCCTTGGGAGGGCCTCACGGCTTATCTTACTCAGGAGCTCTTGGCTCTGGTAGGGCTGGGATGAAATAACTGGTAAAGACAAGGCCAGGCACTGCTATGTGCTGACTCTCCTTTAATAGTTTCATGTAGATAGTTTAAAGCTGAAGCTCCAGTACTTTGGCCACCTGACGCGAAGAACCAACACATTAGAAAAGATACTGATGCTGGGAAAGATTGAGGGCAGGAGGAGAAGGGGGCAACAAAGGAGGAGATGGTTGGATGGCATCACCAACTCAATGGCCATGAGCTGAAGCAAACTCTGGGAGACAGTGAAGGACAGAGAAGCCTGGCATGCTGCAATCCATGGGGTTGCAAAGAGTCAGACACGACTTAGCGACTGACTGACATAGTTTGAAAGGACAGCAGGGACATCAAAACTGAAAGATCCACCTGGAGAGAGGGAGGAGGAAAGAGTTTTTATTCCACCCCCACCCCCAGACCTCAGGGCACTGGGTCCTGGTGTGCTGACCTGTTTATAATAAGAAACCTGTGTCTTTGCAAGTGATACCTGGGACCCCTTCTCAGCTGGACTCATCTAGGGCACTGCTCATATACCTGTGCAGAAGTCTAGGGGGGTTAAGAGCAGCTACTTTAATATATACCAGGGAAGTATCATTCTTCAGCTTTGGGGCCAAGAGCTGTGGTTTGCTGTGCGCCCTGGCTCTGCACGGGCAGGTGTGGGTCCCTTTGGCTGTCTGGGGAATTCTCTGGGGAGACGGCTGTGTGCTCTGCTCAGACCCTGCCCTCTAGTGGCCAAGGGAACCGGCCATGCAGTCCTGACTGTCCCAGTCCACGACATCAAACTCTAGGAACTTGGTCCCTGTCCAAGGGTGTGTGCAGAGAGGAGACAAACACTTTCCCCAATACAAAGCCTGTCTTCCCTGAGCTCAGGTCTCACCTCTGTAGGTGGTTTCCATGTGACTTAGTTCTACTAACTTCCCGTTAACAAGCCTGCAGATCCTCATTTGTGTACTGGGACCCTAATACGGTGCCTTGTTCACAGAACTGCCCCAGGGTTCACACAGGTCAGGTGTGTAAAGCATGCTGTAATGTCAAAGTGTTACACAACTGTGAGGCAATTGACAAAAAGAAAAAGTTAAAAACAAAAAACACGTGAGGCATTGCTCAAAGTGTTGCCAGAAAAGTCTCTCTGTGGCTCCTTACGAGTTCCTCTGGCAGTTGAGGTAGTGGGAACCCTATCCTGGATGGCATGCCATTGGTGGTATGATCCTGATGATTTTTTTTTTTTAGTAACATTTTTCAAAATTTTTTTAAGCAGACCTTTTAAAAAAACTGATTTTTATTTATTTATGGATTTTTTGGCTGCCCTGGGTCGTCACTGCTGCATGCAGGCTTTCTCTAGTTGCAGTGAGTAGGGACTGCTTCCTAGTTGTGGTACATGGGCTTCTCACTTCAGTGGCTTCTCCTGTTGCAGAGCGCGGGTCCAGGCTGCTCGGGTTTCAGCAATTGCAGCGTGTGGGCTCAGTAGTTGTGGCACACAGGCTTAGATGTCTCACAGCAGGTAGGATCTCAGTTCCTAAACGGGATTGAACCTGTGTTCCCTGCACTGGCAGGCAGATTCTTAACCATTGGACCACCAGGGAAGTCTTTGTTTTCTTTTTTTGGCTGCACTGCGTGGCATCTTAGTTTCCTGACCAGGGATTGAACCCATGCCCCCTGCAGCGGAAGTATAGCATCTTAACCACTGGACCACCAGGGAAGTCCCCTTGGTGACTGTTCTAGAGGTGCTTAGGCCTCTTGTGGGGTGGTGAGAGCACCCACCTTGGAGTAAGGGGCCGGGGGCTTGAATTCCAGCTTTGCCATTTTCTTGGGCTCTGTGACCTTGAGTCACTCAACATGATCAAGTCTTTCTTTATCTGTATATTGAGGATGAGGATGCCATCTGTGGGTTGGAAGGGGCAAGTGGTAGAGAATGTAAAGCAAATTAATTATGTAAAAGGGTCTGGAATGTGGTCACTGTTAAGTACAAACCTTTGAATCCTCATCTTCATGTATTTGGGACTTAAATTAGAATTCAACAGCTCACTGTATGCCCCTAAAATCTGAGTCCCTCCTTGTGGTGCAGGGATGTTTAGAGAGTGCAAGCGTGAGCTTTTGAAATCAAAGGTAGGGCCTAGGTAAACCAGTAAAGGAAGTGTGCTGTGGGGTAGGGCTGTTTATGTTGGTTGGAAAGCAGGGCATTTTTCCCTGAGGCAGGCTTTCTGCAGAGGAAAATCTGGATTGGAGAGAGAGATTAAAAATCTCAAAGGTAAAAGGAAAGATGTAAGGAAATGGCCTGCACTGAATCACTGCAAAGGACAGTATTCATCAGAGAATTAATTTGGAAGGAAATAGAGTGTGAAATAGCAGAAAGGCTTTCAACTCTGGGCACCATGGCCTTAGAAACCCAGTCGGTGTTTCAGAGGCTTGCCAAGGCCCAGCCTGGGAGCTCCCTCCAGAAGAGCAGCCGGGGGATGCCCAGAGACCACAAATGGCTGAGCTCGGAGGAACTGATTGAGTGTGTAATTAAGGGGAGGGTTGTATAACACTTGGGTAAGTAGAACTTGATGGGGTCAAACCAGCAGGGCTTCTGGGAGATGAGAGAGCAGTCCCTGGAGCCATTAGTAATGGAAGCCAGATGCATAACGTTAGACACAGCTTACCTGGGCTTTGTGGGGACAAGAATGGAAGAGATCAGGAAGGGGAAGGGTTGAAACAGTGGCTGCTCTCTAGATCTAAGTGTCCACAGATGCTTAATACCTTAGCACAAGGAGTGAGGTAACATTGTGGAACAATGGGAAAAATCCCCAGAAACTGAAGATCAGAGAGGCTGTGATGTGGCCAGATCACACAGCATACTGGAGATGTAGTGGATGCTGAATCCTGACTGTGGGTCCAGAGAGTGTCTTGATGTACACCAGTGAGCTAGATAGGAGCTGCCAGGGTATAAAGGGGGCATCTTGGATCATGCATGGGGAATAGGACAGGAAATCTTTCATGGCATATTCGTGGACAAAATGGTCACATGTAGACCAGGTGGTGCTAGTGGTAAAGAACCTGCCTGCTAATGCAGGAGATGTAAGAGATGCAGGTACGATCCTTGGGTCAGGAAGGTCCCCTGGAGGAGGGCATGGCAACCCACTCCAGTACTCTCGCCTGGAAAATCCCATGGACAGAGGAGCCTGGTAGGCTGCAGTCCATGGGGTCACTAAGAGTCGGACATAACTGAGCGACTTCACTTTCACTTTTCCTTTCATGCATTGGAGAAGGAAATGGCAACCCACTCCAATGTTCTTGCCTGGAGAATCCCAGAGATGGGGGAGCCTGGTGGGCTTCCGTCTATTGGATTGCACAGAGTCGGACACGACTGAAGCGGCTTAGCAGCAGCAGTAGCAGCAGGCTGCATTCTAAAGCAATTGCGCATATTCATAACTGCTTGAATTCCTAGAGCTACATCCCTAGGAGGCCCTAGTACACAAGACCCCTTGTAATAGGCCCTCTGCTCACCTCTCCAGCCTCATCCCCTACCTCTTTTTTTTTTTTAACTTACTAATTTTGGGGGCTGTGCTGTGTCTTCATTGCTGCTTGGACTTTCCTCTGGTGTGGTGAGCAGGGGCTGCTCTCTCGTTGCGGTGCATGGGCTTTTCATTGAGGTGGCTTCTCTTGTTGCGGAGCACTGGCTCTTGGGCATGCAGGCTTCAGTAGCATCAGCACACAGGCTCTAGGGCACAGGCTCAATCACCGTGACACACTTGCTTGGTTGCTCCATGGCATGTGGGATCTTCCTGGACCAGAGATCGAACCCGTGTCTCCTGCACTGCCAGCCTGATTCTTTACCACTGCGCCACCAGGAGAGCCCTGGTCCCTGTTGAGGGCTTGTTGTTCTTGATGTGTTGGCTCCTTCTTGTCATTCAGACCTCAGCTTAAATGTGACTCCTTTTCATATGAAGATATTTCCTTGCATGTTTATATATATGTTTGATTTGGTGTTTGTTTTTGCAGAGACACAGTAGAAACAGTGGTTAGACAGACAGGCTCTGGAGCCAGACTACCTGCACTGATGCTCCATCCTTTAGGATCTGTGTGGTCCTGAGCAAGTGTCTTAACTCTTCTTTGCCTCAGGATACCTAATCAATAAGATGGGAATAATGATAGTACTTTATTTAGTTCATAAGATTTTGTAAAGAATAAACATACAAAGTGTTTAGAGCAATGCTAGGGACATTGGAAATGCTCAATAAATGTTAGCTAGTATTAGTAGTAGTATTCGTGTTATCCTCTCTCTCCCTCTATAATCAGTAGGACCTCTGTCTGGTTTGTTTGCTTCTCTATGTTTCTCCAGCACAGAGATCATGCCTTGGCACATACTATGTTGACACATATTAATTGAAGAAATTTGCTGAATTAATAAAACAACTAATGCAGCAGTCAGTCATTCTTTAAGGAGGTGTTGCGTGTTATGTGGTAGGGCTCTGTCCTTTCAGACATGTTTTTCAATGATTTGCAAAAAAACAACACAACTGAATAAACATATAGAGTATAGGCTAATTACATTTATTAAAAGCATAAAACTGGAAGACACAGGTAATTGAATGACTGAATGAGTGAATAAATAAGTGTATTAGATGTCCATATTGATTTTTTTTTTTTTGATCCTGGGCCAAATTTTGCAAAGTGAAATTTACTGGGGATAAATACTGAGTTCTTGATCTCACAATCAATTGCCCACAACAGGATAGATGTTGTAGTGAGCAATTTATTCAATATGGGTCAATGATGTGATGCATTCCTCAGAATTCTAAATGTGCTGTGTCTGTGCTGGTCCCTGAGATGAAGGAGGTGATGGTCCCATCCTGCCCAGCTCAGAGCACTCCCAGAGAGCTGTGCTCAGAGAGAAGACAGACAAACAGGTCAACTGGAGAAGGACCATCTCGGGGAGGAATGGAAGGGCTCAGGACACATCAAAGCTTTTATTTATGTGTGTCTTAAGGACCACACTCAGGCCAGTATGTAAGCTACAGGGACATACAGAGCAATATAAGGATAATCCATGAAACAGTCAGAGCTTCCATGCCGGAACTGGGCTATGTCTGAGGATTCCTGTCGCTGCAGGATTTTGGGCTTACACAGGCATTTAGCCAGAGTATGGGAAAGGGTCACACACCAGCCAAGTGGTGGAATAAATGACCTGTAAAGTCTACCCATTCTGAGAACCTGCAGTCCTATAATTCCACAGCATCCTTCATTCCCTGTGAACAGTCTGAGTCAGAGGCAAGCCTCCTTTTGTCTTTCATATGGTCAGGGTTGGGGTTTGGTCCTCTAATTTGATGATTCTGAACTTTTTGAAGAAGAGAGGAGTGCTTGGGAATCCAGTGACCTCAGTATAACCCTGTTAAGTGTTGCTACCATCACCTTGGGCCATTTGGGCTTGAAGACTTAAGGATGAGTAGCTCTTGAAAGCACCTTCTTGGTGGGAGGGGGGTTCAGGATGGGGAACACATGTAAATCCATGGCTGATTCATGTCAATGTATGGCAAAAACCACTACAATATTGTAAAGTAATTAGCCTCCAACTAATAAAAATAAATGGAAAAAAAAAGAAAGCACCTTCTTGCTACTGCTCCCACCATCCCATCTTAAAATTTCCGTTCTGGTGCTTCTTTCTTTAAGGCTTTTCTGTGCTGCCTTTCAGAGCCCAGGAGAGCAACAAGAGGGCTTCCTGGATCTCTCTTCTGAAAGAAGGAATTTCAAGCTAGAACCTTCCCATTGCCCAGCCAGCACACCTCTTGTGAGCTTTTACATTTACTCACTGGAGCAGCCATTTCAGACCTTCTCTTTTGCATTGTGAGTCCTGGGATGAATCTCATAAATGCCCTGTTAACTTAGGTTGTACTAGGCATATGCACCTGCGTTAACTGATACCCACCTCATAGGAAGACTGTGACATCCCCGTGTAAAGCTGCTGGCTCAGAGGGATCAAAGTCAGTGATCCAGGGAGAGGCAGAGGCTGGACTGAGATTCCCACCGTTGACCTTGAGGTCAGCTT